GAACGCTCACATCCTTTTAATTATGTTTGAAATTATGAACATTGCTCAACATCATGAAAATTAAACCTTATTTTCAATAAGCAATCCTTAAAAATATTTGGGGGTGCTTAACTTTTTTCCAGGTGTATATTAGAATTTTATAAAATGTCTGTGTATTGCATCAGCCATTTTTTGGCTATAAATAGAGGTTCTTACTTAGTCAGTTTAGTAGACTATCTGCTATAAGCTACAAAAGAGCATGGCAGAAAACTTCAGGGGCCACTGTCACCGCATACATCTTCTGGTCTCGCCTGTATTCAGTCAGTATCCCAGCAAAACGGCCAAGAAAGACCCCTTTTCACCAACAAGATGAGGAAGATGAAGCTAAACAGAGATCAACAAATGATCTATTCAGAGGAATCAAAGCTTAACCTGAATGGGTCTTATAGGAAGCACTTTGTACGACGTCGATGTGGAGATGTGCATGTTTGAATGCAACTGTGAAGCATCTGCAGGGTCTGGTGATATTGGGATACATCTCTGTGTGGAACGCCTGACAAGTTCGTCAAGGTCTTCGAGCCACGCTTAAAGCCAACAATTCGAGATCACTTCGGTGGAGCTGACCAGTGTACATTCCAAAATTACTCTACTCCATGATACAAGGATAAATATTTTGGTAATATTCATACACTCTATGCAGTAGACGTGAAATAAAGAAGAAGTTTCACTCTACGTGTATTGAAAAGACATCATAGGTTTTATGTCATTGATTCAAGTGAAGGACTGTCTTCGAAGGGAGAGGATCAAGACACTACACTGGCCAGGCAACAGCCCAAATCTCAATCCTGTCGAAAACTAATAGAAGAGAATGGGTAACAACGTACAAGGAAAGAAACTGAGAAGCACCTTGGAACTACAGGAAGCCCTAATCCGCGTGTGGACATCATGAACTCCACCCTTGCCTACACTGAGTTCCTTGTGAACTCTATGACACGATGATGTCAAGCATGTATCAAGACCAGATGGTCACAACCAAATATTCAAACAGGAAATAGACTCTGTGACCATTTTTTGTCAATTACATTAGTGGCGTTATCTTTAAATGTAGGTTTTCTTACTCGGATATCACTTTCGTATTTGACAAGTATTTGTTGATAGTATCTGATGACAGTATTTACTGTAATACGTTTGTCATGGTTGGTTTGTTAATAAAGATGCATATATGTGTTTGGATGACTGAAATATAAGTCAGCTTACTCTATACAATATCCATAACAATTTTACACTTCTACAATGCAAAATCGCGTAAAAAATTACAGTAACAAAAAAGTGTGAAAAAATTGGGTGATGCAGTAATTATTTACACCACTGTAATTGATTGATTATAACTTCTGAACATATTTGTTAAGAGCAACTTGCTACTAGCTTTGTCTGAAATCCAACAAACATGTCTTTGTTGCATTTTGTTTTGTCTTGATCAGACACACTTTAGACCCGTGGTATAACTGTACTCGAGATTTTTCTTCAAGTGAGATGCCTCAGAAGATAGTGAGTGTAAACCTCAGGGAATGGGCGTGGCATATTGATTAGCGTGCACGCCTCGAATGTGATTGTCCAAGGCTCAACTACGATATACTGCTGAACACGCTCCGCGTTTTTTCTTATGAGGGCGTTATAACTGTAATAATCAATCCTAGTATTTGATTAAGAGTATTCTCATAGGAAACAGAATGCTGTGCCGAAATCTTGAGGTCTCTGACCTGGACATTTAACCCATTTGTCGCATAGGGTGCCGTTCACTTTATTACCAAAACCTGAAATTCCTATGAGAATGGGTTCTGTGCACACCTTAACCATCGTTATTTGAATGTAGTTTTAAGAATTTACTTGACACGTAAGCGTTATAACAGACTGATCAATATGGTTTTACTTTGTGGGTTTAAAAGTTTAATTGGAGCTTTCAGTGGCACAGCGGTATGTCAATGGACTTACAACGCTAGAAACCGGGTTTCGATATCCGTGGTGGGCAGAACACAGATAGCCCATGGTGTAGCTTTGTGCTTAACTTCAAACAAACAAACAAGCTTTCAGAAGTGTTTTATATTTTATTGTATTTGTTTTAGAATCGAGAAGGAAATGACAAATTATTTATTGTTTGTTCTTTCATTATTCATGGATAATACATAAACAGTACTAGGCCCGGCATGGCCAGGTGGTTAGGGTGCTCGACACCCAATCTGAGGGTCGCGGGTTCGAATTCCCGTCACACCAAACATGCTAGCCCTTTCAGCCGTGGGGGCGTTATAAGTGACGGTCAATCCCACTATTTGTTGGTAAAACAGTAGCCCAAGAGTTGGCGATGGGTGGTGATGACTAGCTTCCTTACCTCTAGTCTTTCACTGCTAAACTAGGGACGGCTAACGCAGATAGCCCTCGTGTAGCTTTGCGCGAAATTCAAAAATAAACATAAACAGCAATGTTTGTATCCTGAGAAATTTAAAAAGAACTGTTTGAGTATTTGTAATAAGAGAGAGAGAGAGAAAGGGTTGGAATATACTAGTTTAAGTTATGTTTTCGTAGTTATAATATTTTAAGCTTGAGCTTCTGTACTAGATATCTTCACCTTCAATACCACATTTCAATTGAATTGCAATAGCAACTACCGTGCCTAGTTGTCGTTAATCGAACTTTCGGTTCAGTACGTTCACTACTGCCTTGCTTAATAACTAGAAACATTCATGTAGTTTGCTTGTAACTACAATGTACTTTAATTCAGTACAGAATTCTAAGTGTGAGGGCATTTGTTCACATGTAAAATGTCACTCAAATATTTACACCCTGGAAAATGTATTTACTGTCTGTCTGATTACATTTGATTTAGTTCTGCTTATTTGTGTCTATTTAGCCTTTGAAATTCGTGCCAAGTGTATAAACATTTTATAACTTCAAAGATACTTTCGTTTTGATTATTTAGTAACAAGTTCTTCACATTTTATAAGTATTTTCAAGTTTAGTTCAAAATCATTGGACTTTAATCTTTCATTTCTAGACTGAACATCATGACATCACTTAAACTATTATTGCTCTTTCTCATACAAGTGACCGTTCATGTCTCAGTATTATCTAAAATCAAGCATATAATTATAATGGTAATCCAGTATATAGCGGTGTGTGCTCTTTGTTTTTTTACTGTTCCGAAATTATAATAATGGTTCTTTTCAGTATGGCATTTTGTTTATATCATATTCTATAATTTTATTTACTAGACTGTATTTGATATTACTTCAATTACATATATACTTCACGAGAAATTAGCCAGATATAATTTAATTTCACGTTTAAAATTAATTTACAGGGAAAATCACAGTGAAATAGAAAGACGTCGGAGGAACAAGATGTCCGCTTATATTGCGGAACTTTCTGACATGGTACCCACTTGCAGCGCCCTCGCAAGGAAACCCGACAAGTTAACGATTCTACGTATGGCAGTTGCACATATGAAAACGCTTAGAGGTGAGAATTTAATGCTATATAATTTAAAATTTCTATATTATGTGGAAGCTTAAGAACTGACATAATACAGTGTAATTATTAGCTCAGGCTTGCTACGTAATTAATGTCATGATTCCTTGAACAAAAATTCTTTTATCAGTAGCGGACGTGTTAAGTAAGTCCAGAACTTTCTTTACTACTCTTATGGAAGAACAAAAGAACCTAAAATAAAGAGTGATTGGTAAAATATTGTGCTTTAAACATGTTTAAGAAGTTTGAACTTTGTTGGAAATAAAATCTATATCTAGATCAGTTGATAGGAAAACTTAATGTAAGCACACTTATAGTGTATGTCTGTCTGATCTTGTAAAAATATTTATATAAGATTCTGTATAATGTACTTGTGTGACGTCTTTAAGCTGAAAGATATATTAATAAGTTATATATACACACACAGGTGAGTAAATAGAAAAATAAATATATATATTGATGTAAGTTCACATTTGGAAAATTAAAATACAGTATGTTACTGCAAGAAGTTAAAGCTTGATACTGTTTGTACTGGTCGTGTATTATATGGTGAAATGTATTTAAATGATAATATGCAATAATTATGTAAGATATCCTGAACACATGATGAGCTAATTCAGTATTAGTTTGGCACTGTTGAAACACAATTTGGCATTTTCTGAATGGTTCGGAAGAATGTCTTGAATTTTATTAAGTGACAGTCAATGAGTATTTGGATGTTCCATGTTCTGCTAGCAGGTCGTAATAACTTCAAAATAATAACATATTCGCAAAAGGTCTCATAGCGATTAAACTTACCAGTATAATATTACCACTAGAATTTGACAGTTCAATGAAATACTGTAGTAATCTCCTAGAATTGGGTCAGTGTAGCATATATATATATATATA